CATTCTTGGCCAAAAATAAGGCAGGAACTTTGTACTTTTCAAACATAAGTTCTGTTGTCCTGTTGGGTACAAGACAAAACCATCACTTAACATAAAAAGTAAACTACATAAAGACACACCAATTTAAACCATCAATAATTATGTAACAAATAATATCATTTGCATAAAACCTTTTACCAAGTGGGTCCAGCATAATTATTACGAATGAGGATCCTCGCCAGATCCTCCTTGTGAGGATCCCGGGGATCCTCCAATCACATCCGTTCATCGTATAACATGCAGCCAGTTTTCTTCAGGTACTGTTTATATTCAATTTTAAATAAAAAAATTTACAATGATTTCTGACCACACAATGTACAATGAACGGATGTGATTGGAGGATCCCCAGGATCCTCACAAAGAGGATCCAGCAAAGATCCTCTCTCAATTATTACAAGTTAAAAACTTAAGAAAAACAAAATCTAGGTATGCAACAACAATACACAGACATGATGAAGCCATCAGTCTACACAGCAAAAAACTATAGTTCACTCCATAACAGACTTACATAACATACATATCACATTTACCAGCCTTGTAAGTGATAACAAAAAATTTATATGCATTTGTCAATATAATGAGTTAATACAACCGTTTTCTCAAGTGACTCCATATAAGTATTACAAGTTAAAAACAAAGGAACCGATGTATGCAACTAGAGTACAGGAACATTTATTACAAGTTAAAAACAACAAACCAATCTATGCAATTAGAGTACAGGAACATAATCAAGACATCAGCTTCGACAACAGAAAACATCACATTGTATATCAGAATCTTGCATAAGATTATATATGTGATACTTAAGAGCATCTCCAATGGAAGATGCAAGATGCCTTGGAATGGACATTATGCATCTCTTGTTGTCCAGAAAGCACTCCAATGGACAGGATGTAAGTACCCATCTTGGCCCAAAACTGTAAATAGCCATCTTGTTGTTTAAGATCTTTAGAAGGTGGACCCCGCTAGAAAAGAGAGAAAAGCAAACTGGGATCCCAAGTTTACATCTCCCCCATTGGAGTAGAACTTGTAGTTGCATCTCTCCATTGAAGATGCTCTTAAGTAAGTAGTATCTAATAAACCACATGGTTCACACCCATTAACCAGTTTAAATCTACAGGTCATGATACCATTGACAAAGCTACCTATCTCCAAAGGCCCATCCTTGGTTAAATCTGAACTTGTTACACTTACGTTTTCAAGAAATAAAAGTAGTTAAATGTCACGTTTACCTAAATTATCTCTTTCCTATCAATCAAACCTAAAGTTGACCTTTTCAAAGGCATAGGGGTAACCCTAAAGTCCAAGTTTATCACAAAAGAATACATAAAAAATCGCATAAGCATTTTGGCTTGACTTAATTACAATTTTGAACTAATCAGAAAATTTATTAATTACCAAATTACCTTTCTCTTTGTTGTTGAGTGTTCAAAGATGGCTCTGCAAGTAGCATTGGATGCTCTTTAGGATCAACCAATAGGCATTCCCTGAAAATAATAGCAAAGCACTTAGTGACATGGTAATATACTGAAATAGAATTAAATTATTGGAAAATAGAAATTGCTAGATGGAGAACTAACTAGGAAAAGGATAAAATCCAAGCCTTCACAATATATAAAAGAATTGGATGGGACTTTTGGGACAACATATGTTGCTACAGTATTACAATATCTGTTAAGTCCAAACTCATATTAAATGAAAAATGAAATATAATTGGACAAGAGAAACTTATAACATATGATGATCACTCCCAAAAAAGAGATGGAATCAATATTCTTCTGACCCAGCCAATATCAGCGAGGAAAATTTGTACCAAAGCATTACCACAGTTATAACATACGACAGAAAACAGTACTAGATAAATTGCCCAAAATTACAATATATCATTTGTTGATCATTATATCCTAAACTGAAACTAGGACTATTATGTCCACAAGCCTAGTAGAAGAAGCTAAGCGCTCAGGCCGTTGCATTATATGAATGCCTCATCTCACTTAAATCAACTCACTAATCAACAATTGAAATGAGAAAAAAAAAAAATTTAACCCATTATAATTCATCCATTAGTAGTTACCTAAAAGCATGGTCCCATATACCCTCCACAGCATCCCAGTCAACAACAACTCCATCCTTTATGGGTGACAGCACCTGATACAACAGCAGTAGTTAATGAAAATATTATTACAAAAGATCTAAACTGTGCTTCAATTACAAAAGCTTTTAATTCAAAACTGACCTCCATATGATCCCGACGGTACCCTAAGGATTGAGATCCTACATATAACTTGCGTTTTCCCTTGGCTTTGTCAGAATCAAGAGATTTTGAATTATTCTTTGGATCTACAGCAGATCCAGAATTGTTTTCCATTTCAGTTGCATCAACTTCCATCTGATCAATTGACCCGACAACCTAAATGAAAAAAAACAGATGCCAAAATAAGGTTAAATTTTTAAATCACTTGAACTAGTGATAATGAATATTCAATTAACAGACAGACGCACAGTAAACAAATTCCACACCTAATGTGACTGATTTATTAGAAAGGTCCATCCCCTAATACCTGGAAATTCGATGCATATAAATTTCATAACTAATGAGTCTAAAAAAATTCGGAAAAAAAAAAAATGAAAAGCTTCATCCATTCTTCAAAAATTCCAAGTGATTACACATATATCCCACCAGCCTTAACGCCCCCTCTATTAAAGATGTTCCATCAAAAGTCTCACATTATCCATGATGGTGTGGAAAATTGAGATGAAGGATTCATCATTCTTCTGAATAAACAACCGCATACAATTCAAATATCTTTGGGACGGTCGAAACACCAAATCTATACCCAAAATGACTCATAAAGAACAATTCTTTAGCTAAAAATCTTAAAAGTTTCAAATTGGCTATTGAAAAACACACACATTCTGCATTACCACCAAAAGGGTAAACATTTCCCAAATCTATAAAATGGAAATCCTCAGTGCTACCACCACAAGTTCGCGTTTCGATTAAACATAGTAACAAAGTTGTCAAATTTTCTACAACAATTAAGAACTTCAAGAGTAAAAAGAACAATCAAGAGTGTAACTGCCACTATGCAAAGTCGAACTAAAAATTGAGCAGAAAGGAAGCACATACCGAAGGGAAGACAGCTTTTGGCGCATCTTCACCGGCATAGCCGGCTTTGCAAGTGTGCGAGCCGAGGTCGAGCACGATAGCTGATACCTCATCTGCAACACCAAAGAAACCAGAAATTCCCCCAAAAAAATCAGAAAAAAATGGAGGAAAAAAAAAAAGAGAAATCTATGTAGCATGCGAGTGCTGTTAGGTTTTCTCGGAACTCACCGCCTCCGTACATAATCGAAGCTTTCTGAGAGGTGAGTTTTGGGAAGAAGGACAGGGGGTGCTCTGCGAGTGCTGGAGGAGAAGGAAAGAGAGAAAGGGTTTAACGGACTTTGGATTTCGGGGGTTAGTAGGAAAACTAGCGTTTTTATCTTTATTTTTTTATTTTTTATTTTAAATATTATTACGAATTTGACCCTACTTATGTGTGGAGGTTTCATTCAGAGCCTCGATTCTTTTGCTTTTTCGTCCCTCTTGATCTCAATTTTTTTTTTTTTTTTTTTAATTTGGTAAATGAGCAAAATAGTACATCAGTTACAGAAATTGACTGAATTAATGGCGTGCACAATTCAATTCAAATTTTTTTTAGTTGGAATAGTTCACGAAGTCGCTTGTGTTAACAAATAAATTGAACCGACATTGATTAGCCAATCTTTAAAAATCGAAGAGAAATGAGAGTCACAAGGAGGTTAGTAGTTGTGTGCCTAACGAATGAGAGGCAATGACATAGTCCTAGCTAATACCAAGCTTTCAATTCAGATTAGTTAGCGAAGCTTAGTGAAGCCCAGAGTCGAGGCGAGTCCGACCTAACGTTATTTAAGTTAAATCTCTTGCTACACAAAACATGTTCAGTCCAGTTAATACTAACAATAACAAACAAATGCACCTTAAAGGTTATAAGTTGATAACATGTAATGAAACACCGAAACAATCACTCAAATTGCAACACATTAGAGCAGTTCCAGCGTGATAACCCTCCCCCCAGGCAATATACTATGCTATCCACCCAATGAACAGTAATCACATTTTGCATCTCCACCGTTGCACTTCAATAGCCTTGACAATAGGCAATAAAATAATAATATTTTTTTCTGGGAATAAATTCTCTCGCGTTGAAACTATACCCAAGGACACCCAATTTCACATACATGTTTTGGAATGAAATCAAGTCGCAAAAGTAAAATCCTATGACATTTTCGAGGCCTTACCCTGCTCGGAAAAATGATGTTTCACCGAAGCTCTCTCGGCTTGGCAATTTGTGCACCATTGAGATGAGGGTTGCAGAGAGAGTGCAGAGAAGAGAGTTTCAGAGAGTGTCTAGGTGATACAGCGAGATGATGGTTGTCAGTGTCTATGTTTGCAGGGATATAAAGAGACAATGAGGGTTATGGGAGAGAATGGAGAGATTGAGGGAGCTTAGGGATTTCCGCGCCCACCCCCCCCCCCCCCCCCCCCAAATTTCCTAGTTTCGTGAAACTCACAAAGATGGTGAGGTTGTGACGGTGGTTTGGAGTTCGCCAGAATGGGAGGGCTGTGTGGTCTCCTGACAGAAAAAAAATTAAAACAAGTGACGTCAAACTCACCTCAAGTGCTCGTGCCGGCACGAATCCATGGGCCTGGCGCTCAAGCTCCCTCGCCAACCAACGCTGGACTTCCTCCCTTGGGCAATCAGGCCCTGTGCTGAAGCCTGTCCATCGAGCAATTGCTCCCGCTGGAGCTGCTCTTATAGAAAGATACTTATATGTTAAATCATATCATGATATCAATCGAATCGATTACCGTCAATTTCCTGAAGTGAAAAACTAACTTTTAAGGTTCACTCAATTAAAACTAGAGGTTAAGGAAGTACAATATAACGACTAATCTATACATGAGATATTAATATGAATATGTATATTTCGCCCAAGGAATTGCCCATATGCACTTTAGGTCTTCATAAACATGTATTACAACATTTCCTTATCATTATGTAACATGAACATAACAACTAACTCTCGATCTCACGAAACGAAGCGACTCTCTCCACCTCGGTGTCCTTCTGGTGGCAACGTATTTGGTCTGGTGGCCGGCAAGAAGGGTGTGTTGCTTCCTACTCTGGCTTTAGTTTCAGGGAGGCACTGCAGGGTAGTTTCTCATGAGTCATCACGTCAAATCGACTACAAATGCTTGCAAAAGGAGAAAAAATGGTGAGCGATTAATCACCTGTTGATACAGTAACGCTTTCCTGTTGGTGGTGGACCATCATCGAAGACATGGCCAAGATGAGCATCACAAGCGGCACAAAGAACTTCAGTTCGAGGCATGATAAATATAGACAAGTCCAACTTGGACTTCACATTGTCACCTATGGGCTGGTAATAGGATGGCCAACCAGTTCCGCTATCGAATTTGGTAGATGATCTGCAGAAGAGAATATATGAAATATCGGTCAATGTTATAGAATACACAAGAGCATAATGTTCAATGGAAAGTTCGACCCATGACTCATGGGTGGAAATACAATAATTTGGGGGAGGGGGAGTTCAAACCCATGACGCGTGGGTGAAAATACATCACCCTATCCACTAGGATACTGGACAACATGCAAAATTAGTTATAATGATACTTACTCAAAAAGAGGCGTGTCACAACATATGCAATGGTATGTTCCTTTAGTTTTCGTATTCCAGTATTCCCTGAAGATTAAGAGGAAAAAGCCAACATGAATAACAGAAGAAAATGGTTACCGATATAATGCAAGTGGCTGTCTCCACATTGGTTGTTTTGGATGTGCTTACACGAGCAACATTTTTCATTCCGCCATGTATTCCAGGTTGCGACTGGTAAAAAGATGTGTGTGCAAGACATGAGGCTGAAAAGAGAAAACCCATCCTTTATGCTGTATACTATCCTAAGTACTTGTTCATGAGTCATATTTGCTACGTGACATGGTTAGAAAGCCTTGCTAGACTTATGCAGAGTGCACCATGAAGATCTTTACACAAACAGTTAAAAGGCTGGTAAGTCTCCTTCTGTGCCAGCAGATAAGGCGCATGCTGCATAACGACTTAGTTTACAATGCATGAGCTGCCAGAAAATTCTCCAACGTTCTAGATGGAGAGGTGATCGAGGGCACATAATAGCAGTCAACAAAGAACTAATCAGCCAACACATTCTACATAGATATTTTCCTACTAAACAGACTCAAGGGCATAAGAGCAGAAAAAGGAACTAATCAGCATCCTCGTTTATCAAAGGCCTCTTTATTGTTTTAGGTTCAGAGGGCCGAAGCCCAAACAAACAAACGACTACAATGGAATAGCCCTAGGTAACAAAACTTAGTTAACTTGCAAGATGATTACTCAATTCAGATTTCCAATTGTATTTTTCTGAACTTTCCAGCCTTCAGAAGCTCCCAAAAACGAATAAAAACTCAAACTTTCGGCTATAGCAGGTCTTCTGCAATTATATGAAAGTCCACACTGATGAACCAAAGTTACCAAATATCTGACACAGAAGTAGGAATTAAGAAGCATACCCAGTGAAAGCCCTCTCGGTTCCCTTTTTACGAGTAACGTAAAACTGTTCCTCTGTGAGTTTCTCCTTCCATTCTTGATCACTTATAGATTTGTAATCACCAACACCTGTCCCTGCACATTACCAACAAAATTGAAACAAAACATGTAAAAATACCTTGAACTTTTAACACCTGACATTCAAGATTATCCTGCATATACATAACCAAAATCAATTTCGTGTAAAAAAAACCTTGAACTTTTTGCAACATAATTGCATATGACCCAGCCATGCCTTTTTATAGAAGAACTTTAATTGAAAGCATCTCGGATAACTATCCAGGGGTACTCCAAGTGCTTTTTCAACCCATAAGCACTTGAAAACACTTTCAAGTTTCTTGCTAAACATTGTTAGAAGCGCTTTTTGGTTATCTGAAAGCGACTCTTAGGTCTTAGCAATCGCTTCCAAGAAGGCATCCGATAACAAAAGATCATCCAGATAACAAAAGATCATCCATTACCAGTTACAATTACAAAGCAATTCTCTGAGATAAAACTAAATGAGAACCAAAACTATGACTGAATTTTTCAACGGGATACCATCTACGCCCACGAATATATATACACACACAGAGGAAAATAGCATACTTTTAGACCATATTTTATAGAGAATATGGTTCTAGTAGATGTTCTCTCTAGCATCACCCGTGTGTGTGTGTATAAAATCAAGAAAAGAAAATACCTTGAGCTCTGTCTGGGGAAGAAGCAGATGAACCCATTACACGACGAACAGAGGAGAAAAGCCTCTGGGGTTTGACCAAAGATCGGGAACCCAAAATTAATTTCTTGGATTTCAAGCCAGATACGAACTGGGTTTTGGAGGAAATGCGAGCAGCTGTTGTGGGTAAGCTCGAACAAAAACTAGAAGACGCCATTGACGACCTTGAAATTGAGCTCTCTTATACCTTTCAAAGGTCCTGCAACAACCGAAAGGGCATGAAATCGTCAGCTGAGATTGATCTTCTGTTATCCAAGAAAAAACGATGATGGTGTTAGGTAAAGCACGGCCGTTGATTAATAGTTTTCTTATGCTTTTGATTTGATATCTGCAATTGGATTGGATGGATCACGGTATTAGCAGGGACTTGGAGCAGCAGATTTATGTTTTTGGATGCGTGGCTCTCATTGGGATTTTATTTTTTTCCCTTCTTTTTAGGAGAACCATTGGGATTGTTTTGGAGAAAGAGGCTATCTGCTGGCCACGTCAACGTTTCTAGATTGTACTTCACATTGTCACCTATCGTGGTAAATACCAATGTGTCAAAACTTCCATTACGAATACAAATGTGTCGAAATTATGAATACGAATATAAATATGTCGAAACTATAAATACGAATAAGCATGTGTCGAAACTACGCATGGTAAAAATTTAGGATGAGATCTCATGCAAAATAAAAATTATCAATTTCTATCTAAATAAGAGACGTGACCTAAATGGAGGTTGATGCACTTTCTTAATTCTCCTATGTTACATAAATTTTTGGTTAAAATTGAAAGGATTGGTATTTGTATAGGAAATTATTATTAGCATTCTAAAAATCTTATTTTAAATTTTAAAATTTCTATATTTCAAAAGAAAAATATATTTATAAAAAATGTAGAATGAAATTTTAAAAGTGCCAATAATATTTTTCTTTCTGTATTTTTCAAATTTAAGGCATAAAATTAGAAAGTAAAAGTGACAGAAACTTTTGCATCTCAACAGAAGACTGTCGGGTACGTTCCCTTCCTCATCATCTAGCGTCATCACTCTTGAAAGTGAAGGCAGATTGCATGACCTCTTGTTTGAATGTTCTTTTCGTCTCGTCTTATTTTATACGGTTACAATTAAATTACGTTAATATTTTATATTAATTTTTAATATATATAATAAGATAAAAATTAATAAAAATATAAAATATTAATATGATTTAACTGTGATCGTATAAACAAAAATGAATGAAAATGATACCCAAACAGCCAATCTGCCTCCCTTGAAAGTTCCCTCAAGACGAGAGAGAGAGAGCAATGAATGCAAAATCCGAGCAGCAACATTCTCACCATCAAATCAATGGCAAGACAAAATTCAAACCCATTTCTCAACCCACCGAACCAGAGCAATCAAGAAGAAACAACCCAAATCTTCAAACCAATAAAAGAAACCCGTTTCCTTGTTTCTCCATAGACGCATCAAAAACCCCAAACCCAGCAACCCCTCTCACCGCCGCAACCCCGCCGCTCGTGGTGGTCGATTCTGCTAATGCCGACATCTACGTCGAAATCGACCGGCTACCCATTGAAGGCGAGACCATTTCGGCCAAGAGCGGACAGAGCCTGGCAGGCGGCAAAGGCGCCAACCAGGCTGCCCGCGGTGGAAAGGTTTCTTACCCAACATACTTCGTCGGCCAGGTGGGCGAGGACGCGCATGGAAGCTGATCGCTGAGGCTCTGGAGAGATGTGGGGTCCGCCTTGATTGCCTGAGTGCTGTTTCTGGTGCGCCCACCGGGCATGCGGTGGTGATGTTGCAGTCTGATGGGCAGAACTCCATCATCATTGTTGGTGGGGCCACCATTAAGTGCTGGTCTGAGAGGATTTCTGACGAGGATTTGAAGCTTGTGAACAATGCTGGGATTGTTTTGCTTCAGAGGGAGATTCCAGAATCGGTCAACGTTCAGGTTGCAAAGGTCCGGGCTTTCAATTTTTAAAATTTTTAAGTTCCCATTTTGCTTAGGGTCACATTATCTTGCAATGCCATTGTATAATCTATCTTGATTTGCTTTTGATTTCGATTACTGCGGCATATGTGTTTTTTTACTTAAAATTGAAGAAAGAAAGTTCATTTGCTTTGTTTAGCTGGTTATGTCTTGGTTGTCTCGTCAGAATGGAACATTATGTATTGGCCATTTGAGGAATTGGAATCAGTGAATTTTATGTTATCGCAGTTTGTGATTACGTTTGTTGGGTATAAGATTTTAGCTTTGCTATATTTAGGTAAAAGGGTTGATTAGCTATTGGGAATCCGTGTGGTGTTGACGTTTCTTTTAGTTCGTTGATGAGAATGTGGTAGGCAGATCAAAGGTAGAGAGATTATGAGTTAAACATTAGGAGTTTATATAGTACATTTTTAAGCTGTCAATTTACCGCGCGGTTGCCCCCCGTTTAAAGTTAACTATTACGGTTATGGGTAACCGTTTAGACGAATAAACGATTATGGGTATAAGCGTTTATCCGTGAGATTTAAATGGGTGGTTATGGATATTATCCACGGTTATAACAGGTATCCATTGGTTATGGGTATTACTCGCGGTTATAACGGGTATCCATTTACCCATTTAATTTAATCTATGTAAAAAAAATAAAAATTAAAAACCCTCTCTCTCTCCGCCGCTTGACTTCGACTCGACCTCATCTCGGCGACCTCACTCAGACAACCTCACCACCCTCCTCGACCTCACCTCAGACAACCTCCTCACCTCAGAATCCGGCCACACCCACATCACACAAACCCTCTGATCTCTCTCTCTCTCGACTTCTCATCCCTCAGACCTTGATTGTGTGGAGGAGTCTTCCTTCACGGCACAAAGGCGGAGCTATGGCCACCGGCACCGTTCACCTCTCTGATTTCTCTCCCTCAACTTCTTCATCTAGATTCCAGTGCACTGTACACCGATTCTCCTCTAAATCAGGTAAATTTTGGAAGTAATTTAGGGTTTGAAATTTAGGGTGTGAAATTTAAATTAGGGTTTGTGAAATCTAGATTCGGGTTTGTGAAATCTTGTCTTGATTAGGCATTGTTCTTGATCTTATTAAAAATTTGCATTGTTCTAGATTAGGCATTGTTCTTGATTTTATTAAAAATGTTGGTTGATTTTTAGTTTAGATGTCTGAAGTAATTCAATTTCTGAAGTGATTTTTAGTTTAGCCGTACTCTCATCTTTGAAGTGTTAATCTTTGAAGTAATTCAATTATCTACATAATTTGCAATTTTGCATAATGGAAAAGGAAGGTGTTGGTTGATTTTTACTCTTATCTTTGAAGTAATTCAATTTGCATAATGGAAAGGAAAGTGTTGGTTGATTTTTAGTTTAATCCATTAAAATTAGATTTTTCACAACCTGCAGTTGCACCAAAATATCTAGAACATTAACATGGGGTCAAGGTCAATGGTGAAGTTGTACCAGATAAATAAAAAGCAAGGAAAATAATCAAAATATTGGCATCAAAGTTCATAATTCCGACACCAAAATTGAATTGGAGGGGCCAATAAGGTTCATTCCACCAATTATAAATTTAGTAACTTGGAATTGTACGAGGACTTAAATGATTAAAATAAGGAAATGCATACTAAAATGTACCTATAACGGTGTTTAATTGTCAGAAAACGAAAATTATGACAAATTTTTCTTTTGGAATTTTCAAATTGTTCAAAAAAACATGTAGATGGGTGAAAAAAATGTGTAAATGGGTAAAAATAGGATAAATGGGTAAACAGGTAAATGGTTATGGTTATGGTTAAATGGATAAATGGTTATGATTAAATGGATATACGGTTATGGGTATAGATAACCGTTTATAAACGGTTATGGTTATGGGTATAACCATTTATACAATTACCCAACGGGTAAACGGTTATGAGGGTATGAACATAAACGGTTATAGGTAAATAACCTTGGTTACCCGCCCACCATAACCGTTGCCCATCCCTAGTGATAGCAAATCATACCCGTTGGGTAATTGCATAAACGGTTATATCCATAACCATAATCGTTTATAAACGGTTATTCATACCCATAACCGTATACCCATTTAACCATAACCATTTACCCATTTAATCATAACCGTAATCATTTACCCGTTTACCCATTTTTGAACCCATTTATCATTTTTTTACCCATTTACCCCTTTTTTCACCCGTCTACTTTTTTTAATAACTTGAAAATTACAAAAGAAAATTTTATCATAATTTTCATTTTCTGACAATTAAACACCGTTATAGGTGCATTTTAGCATGCATTTCCCTATTTTAATCATTTAAGTCCACATACAATTCCAAGTTACTAAATTTATAATCGGTGGAATGAACCTTATTGGCCCCTCCAATTCAATTTTGGTGTCAGAATTATGAACTTTGATGCCGATATTTTGGTGCAATTGCAGGTTGTGAAAAATCCAAATTTAATGTATTAAACTAAAAATCAACCAACACTTTCCTTTTCCATTATGCATATTGAATTACTTCAGAGATGAGAGTAAAAATCAACCAACACTTTCCTTTTCCATTATGCAAAATTGCAAATTATGCACATAATTGAATTACTTCAAAGATGAGAGTACAGCTAAACTAAAAATCACTCCAAAAATTGAATTACTTCAGACATCTAAACTAAAAATCAACCAACTTTTTTAATAAAATCAAGAACAATGACTAATCAAGACTAGATTTCACAAACCCTAAATTAATTCCAAAATTTACCTGATTTGGGGGAGAATCAGTGCACTGGAATCTGGATGAAGAAGTCGAGGGAGAGAAATCAAAGAGGTGAGTGGTGCCGGTGGCCATAGCTCCGCCTATGTGCCGTGAAGGAAGGCACCTCCACACAGTCAAGGTCTGAGGGATTAGAAGTCGAGAGAGATCAGAGGGTCTATGTGACGTGGGTGCGGCCGGATTCTGAGGTGAGGTCAAGGAGGGTGGTGAGGTTGTCTGAGCGAGGTCGCCAAGGTGAGGTCAAGTCGAAGTCAAGAAAGGGAGTGACTGAGTTATGAGTTCTCTGAGGGTTTCTAAATTTTACATATATTAAATTAAATAGGTAAATGGATACCTGTTATAACCGCGGGTAATACCCATAACCGATGGATATTCGTTATAACCACGGATAATACCCATAACCGTCCATTTAAATCTCACGAATAAACGGTTATACCCAC